TGTGTGTCAGCATTTAAGTGGGAGAGCTTTATCGGGATGGTGTATGCGAAGGGAGAGGTGGAACGTTTTGAGATTTACAACAATAAACTTGTTTTGTTTGCAAGTATTGCTTCCTCGCCTGTGCGAGAAGCTTGAACGTTCCAACCTGCGCTACTCTCGTGAGTGATCTGCTTCCGTGCAGACTAAGAGCAACTGTTTTATCGACATTCGAGAATAAAGGTAAAACCTTTTCAACATGACCGACAATAAAAATACCAACCCTGAAGATGCCGTTCCCAACTCAGGGAATCGAGTCAGAGCTGCAGGTGGCCCGAACTGCGGTACGTCTCACGACAACGCAGGAATGCTGGACGGCACCACAAGATACTGGCGAGGAATTACACTCTTAAATGGAAGACAGACCGGACTCAGGAATCTGTTTGTGGACTACGAAGCTGTGCCAGAACTTCAAGGAGAGATGCTGAGACTCGCGATTCAAGATGAAATCACCTCCATAGACTTCGCACACCCTGATATCGTTACCTACTCAGAAATTTACAAACGTCTCAGAACACTTCTGGCGGACCGTCGCGTTCTTTGTACTCAGACGAATATCTGCCTACGCTACTCCACTCACTTCGACAGCGATACAGATAGTCCGTCCTTGCATGTACCCGTATAATAGGGTCGTTCCAAACGACATTGAATGAAAGTCTTCCTGCTTGCGTGTGTCTCTCCCTCTCGCGACAGACGGTGGCGCCCCCTCTGTCTGTTATACCGTATTGCACAAGTCGCTCTCACCCATTCCCGTTGATAAAAAACACCCTTCAGTCTAGAACCTACAACTTGCAACTTGCAAGCAAGTTGCAACGCACCAGTCAATCTAGAACCTGTTTCGAAGGACACCACCGTCCAGCACCTCACCCCCTCCGCCAGCAGCGCCAACCTACAGCCATCTACTTTTGTCTTCCGCCCTGCTGGCGCTCGTCCCAACCGTCGGCACCCCCCAGCTCGCGGCACGCGCGAGCCTTCTTATACCCCGCCCCCGCAACCACACACCGCGTCCCCGGCCCCGGGGCGGGCCCGACCATTTGCA